AAGGGAACAAGATCAAAAGGGATTTCTTGTTCTTGACACGACACATAATGACTAATACTTCTCCAGCTCAATCAGTTCCTCGAAACGTTACTAACCAAATGACTCTTCCTCTGTTCATATCTGTGGTTTCTTCAATCTTGCGTGTCGAGCCTTTATTTGAAAAGAATCAGCTCTGATTGAATCTGTAAAGGGAACCTAATTCATAAGTAGGGTTTGGGATTGATTTAGCACTGGCGCTGATGGCCATAAAAAGAAAAGAAAGTCATATAAAAAAACTGTCCAAAGCTGTACAATGGCTGCTAAGATAACTTTTTACGATCTGAATAAAACAATAAAACTTTGTCAATGAAAGATAATGTGTGTCCGTGACTGATTCTGGTGAAGTACAGATAGCAGAGAATAACTCAAATCATGATGATCCTTTCTTCAGAAAAATCTCCACAGTCTGAAGTACTTCACAAGAATCTTGATGACTAGTTAAAGGTCAATTGTTTTGCAATTTGTGACTGATAAAGAAGAAGTATGACAAAGAATGAGAATAAGATTTTTATTTTTTTAAGTAATATAAATTCTCTGACATCAAATCAAGAACATCCTATTCCATGGAAGCCTATCCTCAGGGCCTAGATTGTGAATCGTTCATAGCAGTTCCGAACAATGTCATAAGACAGGACGTTTTGAAACCGTGTCTACTGTAAGTTCAAATATCATTGACATGCGTCATTGATGGTAATGGACAACTTTATTGTGTTATACCTCATTTTAGAGCTAACTTTCTCCAGAAAACAACCACATTCATTTATATTCAAACATTTGATGTAATTAGAAGTCTAGAAGTAAGAAGAAGTGAATCTAAATGCATCATTAGCCTATCAGTCTTCAGTTTTATCCAGTTTTGATTTTCTACCAGAAAATGTATCCAAATGCTTGTATTAAAAAATAAGAAAATAAAAAGGCGAATAAACTTTTATTTTGTAGTATTAAAAATGCTTTTAGTATATCCCATTGTATATAAGGGTTAGGGTTATGCACTTTCACTAAATCATCTACACATATAAATTATAAATTATAATGAAAATATATGTGTCAAAAAGTAAGAAAACCAATTGAAAGCATGTACTGTCTGGTCCTATGTGGAGATGGGCTTAGGGCTCAGGCGTGCTGAGCCCTAAGCACGCCTGACTCTCCTCATGAGTCAGTTTATGGGAAGAGTGATCTCTCCTGGTTTGTAGACACTGAGTCAACATGCTGGAGCCAGTTAATTAAACCGCTCCTTAACTGGTCTGAATAATGCACAAAAAGACACTATCAGTTTAGAGTGCACCAACGAAAGATGGTCTGGACCTTTCAAGGGCCCTTGGAATGGCTTATAGTTCAAATGAAAAGGGGGGGTTTGCCTGAGCAATATGGGTTCTGCTCTTTCATTATTTGTTCATTTTTATTTATTGTGAAAATAATATGAGAAATAAAATTAAACAAAACACTTTCATACCACTGTAGATTTATTTTTGCATTTATACATAAAGCTTCATAAGTATATCTCACGTTGTTGCATGTAATGAGTCTGTCACATGTTTCACATTGTAAGTTGAATTACAGAAGTAAACTTTTGACAACAATGTACAGTGACAATTTTCCATTTTCCATTTTTTTATTTATTTCATTCACTTAAAAACAAATGCAACAACAGCATTTACTATGAATGAAAAGGAGCAGAAAGAAGTAAAAACTTCTGCCCCCTATCAACACAAAATCTTTGACAGTTCCAGTGCATTTGAGCTTCTAATGCAACTCAAAACTCAAAACTCAAAACTCAAAACTCAAAACTCAAAATACAAAATAAAGGTTACTGATCCGCAGTGATGTATTTCTGCAACATCAATAATTTTACAGACTTTTTAAAATGACAATGGCTCTAGAGAAGATCAAATACAATCCTACATTCATCCAATATAATAATGGTAATAATACCCATACTTACTAAACATTACTCCACTTGTAGGGATTTTGGATCTTAGAGTGTACAACTATATTATTGTGTATATCTATAATGATTAAACCAACTTTACAGATAAGATCTGCTTACTTCATCTACACAGAAGAAGAGCGACAGTTAGGCTGAGCAGGTGGTCCAATTTCATCATTTTCATTTAACTAAATTATTTAAAACATTTTTTATTTCTCATAATTGAGTCAAATATAAGTCTAGACAGATGCTGCATGTTCAGTAATCCTTTTTACAGTCAGAGCAGTTTTTTCGCTCGTCAGACACAAAAATGAATAAATAAATAAACGTGTTTATATCCTGAGTCTATAATAGAGGTATCAACACACGGGCGTTTCCACTGAAGCAGTGCGGTTTTCCACATAGTGTCTTCTATTAGCTTCACCATGGCAACCACTTTGTCCTGGGACACTTTCAAGTCCTGACAGGAAACATCTGCAGACTGCTCCCAACTATTACCTTTGCATACAGAATAACGTGATTTACAGAGACTTGATCAAGAGCTCGAGTCATAACACTGCAATTATGATATGGAACTATTTGGATGTACATTTACTGTCTTAAATAGTTTGTTGTTTGTTCTTTGGTTGATTATTTTATCCCAGAATGTGTCAGTGTGGTATTCAAGGAGGGTTGTTTCAGGTCTTGGTAATTTTTGTTCGAGAGCTACCCAGCAGGTCACATCTCATTAAGCAAAGGGGTTGTTATGCTAAATAAACATAAATGGTAATGAAAACATATCAATCAGAGGAGTGAATACTATTTTACATATCTGCTTCAAAAGAACAGCCCTGGTGCTGAACCTTGAGGCCCATGATGACAAGTTGGTAAGGAAATGAAATTAAACAGAATAATAAAAGCGATAATGTGTGCCGAGGCATGTCAGGCCCAGAGGCTGATTCCACTGCCACCGAGAGGGTTCTCACTTTTTATAGAATCAGAATCAGAATCAGAATCATTTTTATTGCCAACGTAAGTAACGGGAGGTCACAGACTTGGAAATTGCTTTGGCTCAGTGCAACAGTCAAAAAGAGATAATAAAAATAAGAATAAAAAACACTTCTAAAGAATAAATTTAAATTTAAAATAGAGTTACAGTTACTATTTACAATATACAAGTGCACATGGTGCACACAATGTAAGGTGATGCGCATTCAGCCAAAATATCTTTTTGCACAACTGAATCATTTGACCTTTAAAATGGTTTACTTTGTGAGCTTAATCAGTCTTTACAGATTACATCTGAACCAATCTCATTGTTGAGAGCTTCTCTGGAAATTAAGAGTTGCTTCAGTGGAAGTGTGGTGTGGTCGTGCTGCTTTCCGTTTAAAACATACAAAGCTTGTGACTATTTGCCAAACAGAGTGTTTTGTTCTTTGAATAATATTATATAAAAAAATAAAAAAGATAAACATTGCTGTATTTATATTTCTTTATATAGTGCATTTTACAGACCAAGGTTACCCAAAGCACTTTACAATGTCCAGAAATCAGATATTTTTCCATTCACACGGTGATGACGGAAGCGAGATGCCGAACACACTGTTCCATCAAAGCCGCAAACCAACACCATTCATTCATTCATTACATTCATACCTTTGTACATGTTTTTAGTGGTAGGGGAAACCGGAGCACCCAGAGGAAACCTAAGCAAGCACGAGGAGAACATATAAACTCCAAAAAGAAAGGCCCTGTTCCGACCAGGATTCGAACCCTTCTTACTGACAGGCGAGAGCGCCACCCACAGCCACTGTGCCGCCCTATGAAGCACACACAGTGAGAGTAATTGTAGAAATGTAGATACAAAAGGGGTTGCATAACATTTAACTGCGACGCTCTGTTCAACCGTGTGTGCAGAAGTTGTTGTCTAAAACAATTGGAGATCACACAACTGTACACACAATTAAATTTAGGTGTTTTTTTTCTTGATTTAAATCTTCTGACTGGGAGGTTTCTGGGTTGTCAGGCCAGAGGCATACAGCACCTTGACATAATGGTTTTCATCTTTGACATAAATATTGAGTCATTGTGTCTCGTTTACACTTATCACGTCACAAATAATGATAAATACTGGCAGCGCCACTCCTCTGTACAGTCCTCCATGTTGACATGAATCAGGAAGTCAGCCATAGCAACCAGGAGGTGTACATAGCAACAGTTGGAACTGTTGAAACGTTAACACATATTTTCCATTGGTTCTGTTCTGGATTACGTAAAGGGTTTGTTTGGAGAGAGACTTTTTTGTAACATGTTGACGTCATTGGCTCTTCTGTTTTTCTGACAATGAGTCAGTTCCCAAAACGCACTGGGACAGGGGAGGACTCCTCTCCAGCTGATTGTATTTACACATTCATAACAATCTCTCTTGGTTATGAGGCACACACAACTACCAGAAACAAACATACCAGAAACATTCCAATTGCTTTACTTGTTGATCCACATGTATAAACATTATACTCTAGGTGTTTGAGTCACAATCACTGCCTATTCACTCGGGAAGTGTGAAGGTTTTTGTGCCTCTATGTGTTTATGATAATAACTTAAGCAAGAAAATATTTTACAACCAAAATGTATGTTCCAAATGTGAGTATTTCAATCACAAGTGTTTGTTTATTCTGAGTCTCTTTCCACCCATGATGAACTATATGCTCTTTCCAAAAAATAGAAAAGTCAAGACAATTTCCTCTGCATGTTTTGCGAAACATTCCAACCGTCCATTTCACACAATGTTTTGTCCAGTATGCATTGTGAAATCTCAGATATGTCAAATACTCAAAAAGATATCTCCATAAAAGCCCAGCTGTATTTATAATCACATGTCAGAACAGGCCAACATTGTTTGTGCACTTTCATTTCCTCCACGGTTTTAGATTCCCTTTGGTGTGGAGAACTGCATGAGGCCACTGTGCAGATAGCAGTGCAGAGAAGTGGCTGGGATAGTTCTGACAGTAAGTGGTGCAGCAGGAGGAGCATGCCCGGAGACCAGGGGGTGGAGCTAGTTGCTCTTGGGTGACTCACTGCTCGCTTCAGGGCTGGCTCCCATATCTGGCATCTGGAGCTCATTGACGACATCTCCATGGCGACCTGCAGTTGTGGAATTGTAAACAGGCATAGCAACTATAGCGGGAATTGGGCTCTCCTCGTGCTCTGAGAAACCTTGAAGGGATAGGGGCATTAAGGGGAGTACATGAGGTGATGGGAAAAAGATGCCCTCACAGATTGGACATAAACTAATATACTTATGTGTAAATATGTGAATGATATATCTCATCTTTATTGCATGTCTACATTTCCAAGTAAGATAAATGATACATAAGACGCGGGGTGTTAGATTTGTCAAAAAGGGAAATCTCTCAACGTTTGCTTGAGTACCTAACTTTTTTCTGTTTCATAAATACATTTTGATTATTCCAACAGAAAGAGTCTAGTTTAAGTTACATTTGTCGTGTTTCTCTTGAACATGAAACCTTTGATCTGTAACATACTGAGAGCTGTTGTCTGAGTTGTTAGAGAGCTTTTTTCTTTTGACAGAGGCCAAAAATATACACTAGTTCAGGTAATAGAACCAGACTGTTATCAGAGCGAGATTTTACAATGTAGTTTACAACATAGTAGTATAGTAGTAGTGGTAAAGTAACAGTCATAATAGTATAGTAACGGTAGTAGTAGCAGCACGGTGGCTGAGTGGATAGCACTCTCGCTTCTCAGCAAGAAGGTCCTGGCTTCGAATCCCGGTCGGAACAGGGCCTTTCTGAGTTGAGTTGCATGTTCTCCCCATGTCTGCGTAGGTTTCCTCCGGGTGCTCCGGTTTCCTCCGGGTGCTCCGGTTTCCTCCGGGTGCTCCGGTTTCCCCTACTACTAAAAACATGCACAATAGGTCTGAATGTAAATGAGAGAGTGAATGAATGGTGTTGATTGGAGGCTTTGATGCACCAGTGTGTTCGGCGACTCGCTTCTGTCATCACGGTGTGTGGAATGATTGGAACAATATCTGAACTCTGAACATTGTGAAGTGCTTTGGGTGACCTTGGTCTGTAAAATGTGCTATATAAATAAACATTACTTACTTACTTACTAGTATTGGTATTATAGAAAATGGTAGTAGTAGTAGAAGTGGTAGTGGTAGTATAGTAAATGGTAGTAGTATTAGCAGAAGTATTGGTAGAATAGTAAATGGTAGAAGTAGGACTGGTAGTAGTATAGTATAGTAACAAAGTATTAGTAGTAGTAACTAGGCTCACAAGCGGCCCCTACCCTGAGGCTGGCCTCAATTGGTTGACATTACATTAAAGACCCATGTTTGTTGTCAAAAACACTATTTATGACCATTGGGAGCGGGTCCCGGCTCCGCGCTGACATCCTTGCAATACCGCTCTGGGCCAGTGGGGATGGGCCCGGAACAAGAATTACTCTATGCTTTTACTGTATATAGCGTTTTCTTTTCTCTCAAAAAATTCTTTACGTCTTGGCCCAACGCTATGTTCCAGACTTGTTTCAATGCTAAGGGGAAGGCTCGCCACACAGCGCGGCGCTCTGTCAAATATGACAAAACATGCCGAAAATATGCAATTTTTCTAAATCAAAGTGACATTGAAATAATACAAAAGGAAAAATCACTTGAGATAGTGACCAAGTATTATTGTTTTCATTTTATTCTTTTTTCTTTCCATGATTGTAGGTCACCAGTGATGTGCGTCTTCACCTTCCTCACATGACTCCGTATTCCGTCATCGCTGTGTGGAGAGAATAGAACAATATCTGAACTCTGTACATTGTAAAGCGCTTTGGGTGACCTTGGTCTGTAAAAATGCACTATATAAATAAAGATACTTGCTTACTTACATAAGGTTTAGAGTTTGAAAAAAAAAATATTTAAAGTGAAGAGTAGTAGTACTTGTAAAAATACGAGTAAAAGTAGTGTGAACAATAGACTGTTAGTACTTGTGGGGAGCAGGACTTGCAGAGCGCTGACATGTGGAGGCTGTAAGTGCCGCTCGGTCACAGTGAGTTCCTGAGAAACTCATGAAACTTCAGAAGAACTTCTCTGGAACAGCTCAGAGTTTGAATAGAGCACTCTTCTGTTTCAGAGAATTGTGATCACACACTGCCAAGACCAGCACACAATGCCTTTAGGTGACTTTTAATCATTGTGATACATTTGCTAAATTGGCAAAAAATAAATCATAGAGGACGTTAAAAGATCATTTCAAAGATATGCATTCTTGGCAAGCTACATGCATTTGTTTTTGTCTGTGCACTCAAGTGAATATGGACATTATTAACGTCATGTGTTGTTTCTTTTACACTTATTTTGCATGATCATATATTTTCTGAGTGTAAAAAGAGTGTGTGTGTGTGTGTGTGTGTGTGTGTGTTGCATGTAAGTACTCAATCTGTATAAGTCTTAGTGAGGAAAGAGGTTGATATCCAATTCTAAAGATAAAATGCACAGAGTTTCCAGTACAGAATGCAGAGAACTGTACATACTGTACTATTATAGTCTATAATCTGAGGACAAAGCACCTGTTGAATACCGATTTTCCAGGTTGAACAAAGGACATGTGAGGACTGCACCATAGAAGATCTCCCAAAGTCTACACCCACAGTGTACAGTACACTATGGGTGTGGACTTTTGGAGAAGTTCTATAGTATTACAGCATGCGCTTACATGTCTGAGTATGTTGTGTAACCCTTTGTGTAGCCTCTTAGGATAAGAACTCATGAAACATAACGAGTATGACAAATCAAGACATTTAGTAGTAGAAAAATAGTACTTTTATTATAAATTATGGAAATGTCAAATATAAATAAGTGCAAAGTTATATCAGTCTCCTTGCTTCGTCAAACTGTTTAAATATCTTCAAGCATTCACAGCCACAATAGCTGTATATGTGCATCTTTATAAAAGACATTTGAATTCAGTACGCATCCCATAATGTAAACATCGATGTGTGTTTTTACATCTCCAAACAAGGAGCAACACTAATACATTCATTATTCCCAAGGAGGAATCTGGTCTGTGCCTTGTGGTGTATTTCCTCTGGTTTTGGGCAGATCATGAACAAATAAGATCTTAACTAAAAACCCCAAACGCTTCAGAGGCATTTGGCATACACCGCCGTCTAATGGTACATTTCAGCATTTAGCAATACAAATCAGCCCTTTTCATGTAAGTATTGGCACAAAGGGACTAGTGCCCACTTACTTCCTCTAAGACACTAGGTAACAGAAGTCATTCACATACAGACACACATGTGATTCAGTCTATAATTAGATTGTCTTGTGTAGGCGGCACCAGCACAGCCTAAAATTGCCAGCAGCGGTAAAGTGGAAGCTGTGTGTCACCTAGACAGCTGACTGTAACTCCTACGTCACGACTGGGGGCCTCTCTCACGCCACACACTTGCTCTGTGTGGAGTGGCCATTTTGATCCAATTTCCAAAGAGCGGTTGAGTGTTTCTTTGGAATAGCCTGGCTCTTAAAGCGGCTTTTCCATTCCCTGGAACCAACCACTTTTTCTCCCCATTCACAATAGATTCCAGTCCATCTAGATAGGTGAATCATATTCTTGGAGGAAGTCTTTCAGGGGGTGAGGCAGCTGGTCTCGTTTGGAAGAAATGTCCAAATGTCCATTGACAGTTTTTCTGCACAGATGCTGCAAAGTGGACAAGCTACATGACATAGGCTTCACCAGCTCTAATGGGATTTTCTCGCCTCCAGAGAAAATGTAATACATGTTCCCTCCACGTTTGCTTTGTGGCATATAGTAGTGAACAAGTTTGAGGATACAGTCAAAATGAGGTACTGACAGAACATTTTTAGGGTCCGTTTGTAGAAAAAAAGACGATGAATCGATCTGGATGCGCAAGTTCTTGGTGCCAGATGCCGTTTTGACGCTTAAGGTGAAGAGATGGCGGTTATCAGAACTGTCCCGAACCAGGAAAGTACCCGTGGGCTCTGATGCCAGCATGACGTTGGCCTCCTTGCCATTTATCGCTCCCCAGTAGAAGCCACTCTCCTGAAGTTTGTGCAGGGTGGAGAGGACCATCTGGTACTGAGCCTTGGAGCTAAAAGTCTTGTAACGCTGGTGCAGCCTCATGCTTGTGGAGTCCAATGGGCTGCTGCTCATGACGGAGACAAACTTGCTGTGAGTTACCATGGCGCTGCGTCCCGCTCTGTGACTGTGTGGGGGGCACACAGGGTACCACCAGACAGGAACACCAAGAGCCGCCAACAGGTCAAAAAGGGCAGCTGTCTGCTGTGAATAGGGCACCTGAGAGAAAAAAAAACATTGTCAGTATAATAATATTTATAATAAATATGATATTATGGCATACAGATTTTAACCAATGTGGCTTGACTCATATATAAGTTTTCACACTAAGAAAGTGGTTGTTGTGGGTTGACAACAAGAAAACTTGATTTCAGAGTCTTCTTAATAGTTACGGTAAATGGTAAACAAACTTTTGAAACGAGAACCAAAAGCCCTTGTCTAACTTTGAGCGCTCTTCCCGGAAACTTTGCTGGTGTTGTGTGTAATTTGCCCTCGGGACGCAGGCACCACGGTCAGTTCCAGTAACGGGACCATTGCGCAACACGCATGCCATTTAACACCAGGTCCACACTCAAACATACCGTGGCTATACACATCGGAATATTTGTATTTGTAGTAGAACATTCCTTTTACGAAGTCATATTTTTATAAAGAGTAAAAAAAAAAGGTTTCTCACCTGTGCAAAGAGTTGCTTTGTATGATATCCAAAGAGCGTTTATCTGGGTCAAAGGCAGAAAAGGCCCGGTGTGTGGCTGGTGAATGTGAGTCTTATTTGGATTGTTAAATGTGGAAGAAGCCACTGTAGTTCTCCTGGCTCTGTACAGCGTGTTGTGCCGAGCTCAGGCCTGGGCTGGCTCTTATTGTAGGCGCCCAGACTCCGCCTCCTGCTGCCAGTAAACTGGCAAGCTGACAGGAAGCTATTTATTTTCTGGATTCTTGCTGATGTCCCTCCCCTGCCAAGACAAGAGGATTCCAGAAACTATGTTTTACTATTTTTGTTTCGCACTGGTGAAGACACGTGTTTTGTTTACTAATGTGCAGCTTTGGATAGCTGAAGAGCACTCTTACTGTACACATTCAGGCTCCAAGTTTATGGTGGCCTGTTCCTTTGAAGTCCTCTTCAGTGGAAAGGGCTGCTCAAGCTTTCTAAAGAAATTCCTTATTACAACCAGCGATTCTTTATATATTATATATTGGCCGAATTACTACGAACTTAATTTCATTAAAAAATAAACAAACAGAAAAAAAACAATAAAAGACTAAAGTGTATCATCACAACAGTTTGCCATTTCACATTTTCAAGGGCATTAGCATATATACTATCTATTGGGATTGATGTCTGTCAGTTAGGAGTCAGGAATGGACGTGGACACAGACAAATCCATAGGTAATCCCATCTGTAAGTATGACATCAGGTCTAGTAAGTCTTCAGTACCACGTGGGTGCTGCTCACGCTGCTGACTCAGGCCCTCAGCCACAGGACTGAGGCTGGAGACAGCACTCTGGAGTCTGGAGTCACTTTAGGTCATCGGTTTCTCCTAAGACACCTTTGCTTACCAGCCATAGGCACTGTTTCGCTCATGCTCATTTGAGACTTGAAATTCAAATTTCAGTTGTTAGTAAGTTTATCTGAGCCTTCAAAGGGTTGAGGAGGCAGGACTTGAGCTTGACGCCAGAGCGCCTGATGGGTTTTGGTAAATGCCAGCTGTGTCCACAGTAGTGACTCAGGTGTTGGCTGATTCAGACCACCAGGAAGATAAAGACATGGGGGAGGGAAATCTCTGTTAGCACCAAACCTTGTAACAATCCCAGAAATGGTTCCCAGAAAATTCATTGTGTCATCACATGAGGCACGCTGGACGTCCTAAAGCTCTCGTGGGATCAGATTAGAGTCAGGGAAGAGAATGTGCCGGAGATACATCACCTCCCACTTATGTTTTACGGGAGTGCTTCGCCATAGAAACCACTATGCACAGTATAAAAGCTGAGTAGGCAATTTCACACAAGCGCCATCATTTCCCATGCAACCCCTTAGCGCTGTTGTCTTTTTCAGGCTAAACAAGACAAACCAATTCTTCAAATGGAAAAATGAAGTGACTCCACATGTGTATATGCAGAGAATGGTTTGTTAGTCTAAACTGCTGTTTAGGAGAAACACAGGCTGTAAACCCTACTCTGCACTGACTCACAAATAAACAATGTCAGCGATTGAGAAAGAATCACCGGTAAAGTTCAAAGACTTTTGAGTTTCAGAACAAATATTTGACACTGACTGGCAACAGACAAAGAAGAAACTAGCATAGTGACTGAGAATAATTGATCAAAAATGTATGGAAAGAATATTAGTTATTCTTACTGTATGGATGCTATGAGAATGGTTTGTCAGAGTTTCCTATGACAGATTTACAGTAAATACAGTTTCCCGTTGTCACATAGTGAATATGCTCTTGTGACGTAGCGCTTTGACATTCATTCAACATTTACCAACTTCCTCAGTATTTGTGATGTTCTCTTTATCAAAGACAAGTCATTGTTTCCTAGTAGTATGTGTAATGTTTAACCCTGTGGTTTTAATGATTACTTTGTATAAGGATACTCATTTACTTGGAAACACAGCACTTCATTTGTTTGAGCACTAATGTCACTGTAAATAGCCGTGACAACAGCTGATAAATACATGTTGTGAGTATATAACTTTGCTCATCATTAACTAAAGTCATTGAGCCTCCAGGCAGAGCGAGGACACCATGTACTACAAAATACTACAGAATACCACAGGAGGATTGCTCAACAGTGTTATGAGGAAGAACCTTTCCTCAGAGGCACCTGTTATACATCATTATATTGTTCTTTCACTTTATGAGGTTAAACCAGGACTTGGATCATGAGGTGTAGTATTTCAGTGAAGTTTTGTAGAATTACATAATTATTACAACAAAAAAAAGCATTGTTCATGAAAACCACTATTAATGTTTCCAATAAATGATTATTATGCACTGTATCCTTCAGACAGGAGTGATGATGATCCAGGACACACAACATTCAACAACATTTACAAACATTTATCATCACTTATGGACATGTATAAACACTTATGGACATGTATAAACACTTATGGACATGTATAAACACTTATGGACATGTATAAACACTTATGGACATGTATAAACACTTATGGACATGTATAAACACTTATGGACATGTATAAACACTTATGGACATGTATAAACACTTATGGACATGTATAAACACTTATGGACATGTATAAACACTTATGGACATGTATAAACACTTATGGACATATATTAACACTTATGGACATATATTAACACTTATGGGCATATATTAACACTTATGGATATTGGTCATCTGCCCCCATTGGACCAATATGTGTTCTCTATTCTTTGTGTTTGAACCGGTTGATTCTCTGATCTATGTTGGCAAACTCGACGGTTGTGTGAAGTCCTCTGAGATAACGACAGTTATGATTCAGGGCTAAACGAAAATGCATTGAATTGAATTGAATTACTGCAACACAAACAAAGACAACCTTTACACTATTGTATTTGATGATGTAGCCATATGTGCTTTTTAAGTGATGTCTGGCGGAGTAAAAGTTGGCATGAAGCCTCTTTGGGGGTCATTAAAAGTGCTAAATAAGTACTATGCAGTATTATTTATTGAAGAGAGGATACAGCAGTCGCTCTTCTCGCATTTCTAAACGTATTTCTGGTCTTGTCATCACAGCTGTCTTCTGGGAAGGCCAGCAAGAGGACACACCCTCATGACATTTGCAAAACGTTACTATATACACTTCTTGATAAAAGCATGAATAAAAATCAAATAATGAAATAAGTGTTTGCATCCACCATAAACACACACACACACATGTATACTTTGTGCCAATGATATATCAATATTAGTAGCTGCCAATGTGACTTGGCACAAGTCCAATATGTCCACATCATTGGTTCGTATTGAGTGTCCTCAAGGGGAGACAAAGATGGGAATGAGGCTGGTACAAACTCGCTGACTTGATTAAGAATTTCCAGAATGTCCTTTCTTTTTATGTAGTCTTGTTTTACATTCCTGGCAAAAGCAAATAAGCCAATAATGGAAATGTCTCTTGTGATGGCTTGAGACTGGAAGAGCACAGGGGTCATTTACCAACAGATAGCAGTGAAGTCATTCTGGTCAGATCGAAATCCATTCTTTCCAAATCAAGTATTTTAAACAATGTGGCAACAGCTGTTTGTTCATAGAGAGAATATGTAGTGAAACTAAATGCTGGGAAAGAAGGATCCGTGCAGTTTGAATGCATTTGAGGAAGACAATAAAGACATGTTGCAAACGTCACTGTGGCTATTTTTGCAAGACATTGTGTTAGATGTGGTTGCTCAGCACATGGCACCTTCACACTTACTGGAAGAGAGCATTTCCTAAGTTGAATTATTGCAAACTTGCCAGGCAAAGTGGAAATCGGGCAAACAAAAGTTGATGAGTAACACACGCAAACTTGAGTAAAATCTATCTCCACACGAAACATGCCGCGTGAAGAAAAGAAGAAGATATGGTAGAATTCTGCATTGTTTGTAAAAGTGAAGGCTATTTTTATTGCTCCATCTGTATTGACAGATGTGGCTTTTATCTTAAGATAGACTGCTGTGTGTTGTAAATAAGAGAGAAAAACAGCCGTCGAGGTCTTTTAGGATAATCTGCTAGTATTATTAGTTCTTACCACCATAAAGAGCTTCTGGAAATATTTCCCAGTGGAAAACAATTCTTGAATGTGTCTGTGTTGAGATTGCATCAGGGGAGATAATATGACTGATCTATTTTGCTGCCGCCACCGTCCGGTTTATCCGTATCAAATGTAAGGAGACAGAGATAGAGATGAGATAATCACTGGACTTTCATTCCCACAATCTCCTGAAATAGCAGGTTGATGTCATTGGAAATAAGTCTGTCTGTACTGTAAAGCCAGGCACCATATTAAAACACCTTGCCTATAATTAGGATAAGAATAAGATTAAATGATCCTTTATTTGTCCCACAGTGGGGAAATGTCAGTGTTGCGTCACAAATTACAGACAGTAGGAATAAGATAAGATAAGAAAACCGATCTTTAATAAACACTGGGTAACAAAAAAATATTTTTTGAAAATAGTCCAGGGTTTTCCAGCTGAATTAATTTTAATGCTCTGAGTCCGAAAATGACCTTGGTTTTTCTCAATCAGGTCAGGATTTTTTGCTACAGAAATATTGTTTTTAATCGATTTTGCGTAAAAAACAAATTTCTGCGGATCATCAGCTGAGAAACCCTTGACGTTTTTTCCGTTTTCCTCAAGAAATAAAAGTCAACGTATCCAAAGTCATTCAGTTTTTATCATCTCCATCAAATTTGATAAGCAGAATTCATAATAACGTAGACGTACATAATCTGTAACACTATGGCTGTATCTCAAAAAGTTGAAATGCATGTGATATTCGGACTCAGAACACCAAAATTAGTCTAAATCAGTTGAGAAACCCCTGACCATTTTTTGGCTGTCAACTTGTGTTATCTATATACAGGATAGTAGTAAGAATTACATTTACAGGCAGTTCTCATTGTACAGTCTGACGGCAGATAAGCACAAGATAAATTAATAATAACTCTACACTAAAATAGAATCAAATCTCTGGCTCTAG